GCCCCCGCGGGGGGTTGGGGCCAGCCGCACCAGGCGGGCCGCGCTGGCTGCAAGGCTCCCCCGCTACGCCGGAGCCTGCCCCGAAAGGAGTCTGCAGACAAATGGGACAAATCCCTCCTGCCAAGAAGCTGAAAAGCAGGTGGAAAGACTTCTCCGAGGGGCTGGCCCTCTGGCCCTGCGCCTCTTGCCCATGGCCCCTGCGAGCACCCAGGCCCCGAGCAAACACCATTCACTCAGTCATAGGGCTGCAGCTGCCCAACTCTTGACTAAACATTTGGGAAAAAAACTATATCTTTTTTTTTTTTTGGACCCAAATTCCATTGCTTTCTCCTCAAGGCCGGTCCGGTCCAGTATTCTCAGCCCTCACCCAAGAAACAAAGTGAAACAAGCCCCATGTTGAGCAGTGACGGCAGCTCCTGCTCCGCGCTCTTTGGCGACACAGCGCAAGGGCTCAGCTGAGCAGACGAGACGGGACAGACGGTGTCGTAGCCCAGGCTGAACAGGCTGGCGAACCGACTCCTAGTCATGGCCCTTCTTCGCCCTCAATTGTACGTTCTCTCCCTACAGATGAAAACTTTATCACCAACCGTCTTGAAGAGCAGCGTGATCTAAACGGCTGAAGTTGCTACACAAGCCTGACTCATGCCAGTAGGCAGAGGACATGCTTGGGAAGCACAGAAGGAGACAACGGATCTACGAGGGTGGCTCTTACTTCAGGATCTGTATGAATGCACCATCTTTTTATTGAAAAGTGATCACGTTTTTCTTAGAAATATTGTTAGCAAAATGACCACTGAATGCCACTTTGCTTTTCTTCAGTTCTTGAAAACAGCATGAGCCTGGAGTAGATATGCTCACAATACAAATATTTATTCTGAGTACTACCATATCTGATTTGAGAAATTACAAAATTCTACTGGGAAACTCTTAAAAGTATTTTTCTCTTAAATAGCAATCTTAGACTGAGGGAATGCACAAGTTCTGGGATTCCCTGTAATGACAATAAATGTTGAGGTATAATTAGTAATATTTTAGAAAGCCAACAATTGTTTTTTGAAAGAAAGGTACATTTTAGTTTCAAACTGGAACACAAATTACTGTATTTTTCTTATAATAGTGCTGAACTTTTATTTGAGGTTCTCTGTTTTTGAAAGCAGACATGATGGATTGAAATAAAAGATAATTTATTGCAATGCTTACTTTCAAGTGCAGAGAGAAGCAGTGTAATTGTAATTTACAGTAGCTGTCAAGGAAAATCTATCACAGATGACATTAAAATGACTTATTTTGCCTGAGCCACTTATTGTTTAAATGTGCATAATCTGATAGAAACAGAGTTTTTAAAATCTGCTTTATATTGTTCTAAATTAATATCAAAACATATACTTATGAGTTAAACATTTTAAACCATTTATTAATACTTTCATCACTACAATTTTTTTTCCCAGGAGTTAGAAATTGATTTATTTAACAACATCACATTTATGTTTTGTAGCTCTATATACTCACAACACTTTCACGTATCTAAACTGGCTGTCTAAAAAGTAGATTTCAAACCAGATTTGTTTCTATTTGAAGGAGGAATGTCTTAAATGGCAGGAGAAAACAGACCACGGCGCCCAATTCTGTTCCCGCCAGAGCTGACCGACAGTTTTGCCATCATCTTCAGTAAGAAAGATTCAAAAATTTCTCGGCAAAGTAATTCATAAATCCACGCAATTTTTTATTTGCAGCTTTTAGCTGCAGGTAGCAAGTTGCTGCCGTCCATCGAACACTGCGTTGCAGGTACCAAGCTTCCGTAACAAAGAACACGTCAGAACACTGAATGCAAACTTACCTCTCTGATATAATTACAGCCAAACCTACTCTAGAAAAGCAAACAGGCTGTGATATCTCAGATAGGTTGTGTAAATCACTTGAGTATCTTCATAGAAAACACCGATGAAAGACATCTAGGCACATTTCCGTTCTGATGGGCCTAAACGTTTCCGGCTTACAGGTACTTTTCCTCAGGTATTTATGCTCTTTAACTCTCCTGAAACTTAAAATTTTGATGTACGTATGCATGTATGCATGTAGGTATATATGTATGCAAATGCAGAATGACGACTAACCAGAAGCCCTGTGCTTCAACAAACCAAGACAATCTTGCAGCAGAGGCAGCCGTAAAGTAGTTCCAAACAAATCAGCACATTTAAATAGTCTGCACGATAAAATCTGCGAGAATAAAGTTAATGACCTGGTCTTTCATGTGCAGTTTTGAGCAGCCACTAGTTCTGATTAAACCGCTTTTCAAAGGGGGCGCTGAATATATATTTACACTTTGCAAGTAAACCGACCTCCATAACAACATAGCAAAAATCCAATGTCACTTTGAATTATCTTCTTCTTGTTTTTTTTTTTTTTAATACAGCTAGAATTAATGTAGTGAATCTGTAATGAAATGCATTATCCTGCATGGAGATTTATCAGATTTTCCGACTGAATGCCATGCTTTGCTAGCACTAGCTGGAGTTCACCTGCATGTTGGTGTGGCGTGTGGCTCTTTTTTGTAAAGAGTTAAGTTGAACACAAAAAAAGGGAACAAAGGTCAGCACCCAGCCGCCACTTGAATGTGAGATTTTTCTTTTTATTCCCCTTGATGTATACTAGGCTCTGTGTTATTAGTCTTAATGATGGAAAATTGTAGTGTTGATACAAATCTTTTTTTCAAAGTAGTAGGCGGGAGCTCCATTTGTTAGTAAGTTTTTTTGTGACTAAAAGCCATGGACAGTACATTTATGTAGCAGTAAAAGGCCTAGATGCTCTTTCCATAGCAGAGCTAATTATTCCTACTGTGACCTTACTGATCTACCCTGTTCCTAGTACATCTCATCTGCACGCCTGTTCCTCTGTGTAGATGGTGTCAGAGAATATGAAAAACCCTATAATGAAACCATTTTCATGATGGAGAAAGGCTACTGGAGTTGCACTTGCTACAAAGAGGCTCAATTATATGAGTAATTGTGATAATTTTCTACATTCATAGCCTTCAATGGGGAAAAAAGAATGAGAGCCACAAAGGAAAATTACTTTAACAAGAAAGTACAGAGAGTAAAAATGGAAGAAGAGACAAAAAAGGGGAAAAAAAATAACCAGAAAAAAAGTTTAAAAAATAGATCTGGAGGGAGGAATAGCAAGACAGGGAGAACAACAGAAATGCTCAAAAAGCCTATGTGCAGCTGTGTTGCACAATTAAATTGAATTTTTTTTCCTGCAGTTGATGAATGTGACTACTGCAAATGTGCCTCTGTAGTTAGCTATCATTTGTTGTTCCGTGACAGGAAAAGGATAATTACCTCTCAGAGAGAATCAAAGGCTGACATGCCCTTTAGACACAGCCATGAATGCAGAGCTCGCTCGAATGCTTGAATAAGAATCCAGTGTTCTGTGCCCCCTTCTACTCAAGAATAAATTTTGTTAAAATGCAAGAGCACCACCAGTAAATTTGTTGAACCCTAGGTGTTCAAAAATATGAGGTGCATCTATCGACTCATCCCATTTGCAAAAATAAAACTACATTTTGAATTCGCTTCTATTATATTCATGGACAGTAAGATAGTGAGATATGCATTAAATTTCTTTTCCCAGTAGGGGTCTGATTCAACATTTCCTATGAAAGAACAGAAAGACACTATCCTTTTTCTCCAGGCTAGTTAGCCTATAATTTAAAACTGTCAAAAACACAATTTTATACAAAGTCTTCAATAAAAGCTTCTCAGATATAACCCAAAGAGGTTTTACTAAAGTTTGATTCAGACTCTGTTACAATATTTTTAAAGCTATAAATACATCTAACTGATATTTTGCCGTTCTCTTTTCTCCTCAAAGTATTTGAAGATTTACAAAGAAAAAAAAGGCAGCATCCTTTCAAGGTGACTAAGCCTTGCAGCTTTTAAGTAATCAGAACGTATTCAACAGTATGCTCGGCCCATTAATAGTCCAGTGAAGTCTTGCTTAATGAAATGAATATGATACGTTTTTTTTAACGAACATTTAAAAATAATCTATAGGCACCTTCAAGAAATTAAGCCCCATTTTTATTCAAAATCACAAGAAGAGTCATGACTGCATTTATACAAAGGCTAGAACAAATGCAAAATATGTCTTAATGTGAGCTCCTTTTTCCCCATGACATCAGTATGCGCTGCTCTTTGTCAGATACAAAGCTCTAGAGTTAAATATTTTTGTACTTTTTTTAACAAAGAGGCTAATTCCTTTGTAACATTAGTTATTGCTAAACAATGAAAACAACCGTCTCAAGTCTTCTTACATCGTTAGACAGACGTGGTATAGCTTCACGCAAAAGTAAAAAAGAAACAAAAGACCACCGCAAATTACGTCTGTTAATTTAAACCTCCCTTATGAATATCTTTGCCTCCTTCTACAGCTATCTTTCCTGACCCTAGCGTAATTCACTTAAAAAAAAAAAATCTCTCTTACGCAAGGAACAACATTATAGCTTGGCAGTTCACATACTGATATCAGACTGAAATGATGGTTTTGAATCATAAAACATGTCATCAGCTTTATACCAAACCACCAATAACCTTTGTGCCACTTGCCAGCCCTCCCTTTACTTGTCACTGTCGGGCTTACCTGATTGTGTTCCCGATCACCGCGAAGGCAGCCCCCGGTCCGCAAGCTGCAATTGCTTCATCTCTACATTTCCTGGCAACCGCCACTAACTTTTGCCCAGATTTATCCACATTGCCCACCAAAAAGGTTTCCGAAGTGTCACCATGGTAGCCATTGTAATACACCTAAACGTATGCAGAAATGTAAAGACATTTTCTTGGTGCACGTTCAGAAACGGAGCTTCTCCTTAATTAAACCCACTATTGCTAGCAGTGAGCTATACATTGTAACGGATAGATTGCCGGGAAGCCGTACCTGCTAGAAATGGATGGGGAAAGCAAAAGATTAGGGAGCAGATAGGAAATGCCCTTTGCGGTACCAACTATTAAAAAGAAAAAAAAAAGGGTGCGAGTCGGGGCACCCGCCGAGCAGCCGGATCGAACACGCGAGCCAGCGCCGCAAAAAACGTCGCGGGCCAAATTCACCACCCGCCGCCGCGCGTCTTCCACCTCCGCTTTCTTTTTAAACAATAAAGTGGCATTAACAACGGATTTTACGTTTGATTTGCAAAAATAAGAGAATAAAACATTGCTCTGGCACCGTGAGGCTTCACGCACTGAAAATATAGCACCTTGTTGAATTAATTAGGTACTGTTTTTTTTTGGTGGCAGTTTCACAGGTTTTAAACTCCAGCTCTCCCGAAATCCTTTCTCGGGAGCAGAAAGCCCTCGCTCTGCACGATGGAGTTCTGCAACGCCGCATTAAAATGGGTTTTGCAGCTCTGCAGTACCGCGGGCAGTCACGTACTTGTAAGACTAAGTCAAATTCCCCTA